AACCATTTTTTTTCTATTTATTTTCATATATTTTTTATGTTTTTCAAAAGTTCACAATCTCACCGATGCATTCATACTTCCGTATCTTCCGTTCTACGCTAAGCAACTCACCAACACATATCAATGCACAGTAACAATTATCCGTAACACATGTACACACACTCACACACACACACACACACACACACACACTCACCTGATACTCATAGCAATAAACGCAATTCTACGTTTCAACCTTCGCAGTTTCCAGAAACTTTACAGCACAATAGCGCACACACACACACACACACACACACTAATTCATACGTAAAACTCCAGCAAAACCAAATGAATTTTAAATAGACACATGTACCAATTACTCGCCACACTCGAATACATCTATAGCCAAAGCATTTCTCAGTTATTGTTTTTAGATGTATAATAGCAAACACAGATACATTCATACACTCTGAACAGAAACAATAAGAATGAAACAGACTATCTTTTATCCACACTCACACATCTAAAAAAAACCGCTTCTGTGAACGATTATTTCACATTCCATGAATTCCGTATACCGGTTGAAGAGCCACGGCTACACCCTGGACTTTTCTACTTTAGGATTATTTTTACTACAATTTCCACACCAGAAAACGGATAGTATTTATTAAACGATTCATACCTGTTTCAGTTCGAGGAAGTCTCTTGCTACATACATATGCTATTTTGTACAGTGATTATATATTGATTATTTAACTAAAGCAGAGAACAATTTTATTTATTTGTCACACATACACATACAAATCCTCACACCCGAATCAAATAGATCATAAAGAAAAATAAAACCGGTTGATCACGAGAAACAAGTTGTTTTTGTTTCAAGTATACTTAATCATAATAAATACAAACTTTATTCGTTCGCTAGGAATGATAAAAAAACATGTGTACAGACAAGGAAACAATGGAAGAACAATCCGAATGAAGACGACGAAAGCGTCAATGATAGTTGGAAACATTTTTAAACACTATTTGAATGCTTCTTATTTCCTACTTAATCAGTCGCATAGCCACGACGACGTTATAGTGCTAAAAGCTTTCATTGTGTTTGATATTTGTTTTCGTCTTGGTTCGTTTTTTTTTCTGTTTGTTTTGTTTTAAGTAAGACGCAAAACGAGCGCGAACGAATGAACACATTTTTGGATTAATTGTTATCTACCTCATAACGACAAAATAATTTTATACAAGTTTGTTTTTAATTCTAGTAAGGAGAATACAATGAACGAAAAAATAAATTTTATTGATTAATTTTAGTTATTCGTGTATAAAATATACAGTATACAATAAATACAAGAGAGTAATGAAGAAAAACACTTTTCTAATTGAAAATAAACGATGTTGTTATTTTTTGCCGAAACAACTAAACCGACCAATGATGCCAGGTAAGGGCAATAAATGTTGACATTAGTGTACCGTAACATCACTCTTAGGTAAGTTTTTCATAACGGGCTCTTCGGTAAGTGTTCAACTATCAATCCTTGGAGATCAATGACAAATCTCAGTCCATACCTTGATCTATAGCCCAAAAAAGCATGGCCTCTCGCGGACATCTTGAAAAACCTCACTTTGATGTACTTTCATTGCATAAATTTCATTGCTACTATGTAATTCTAATTGATCATTGTATAGGCTGTGCCTACCGCTTAGTTGGCCTATCTAGGGTCTAGCCCCCTAGTCTATACACCTGCTGTCCTTCCCGTTGCACTCGTGAGCTCGTGCGATACTCTAGACACACATGGATGGTCGTATCCGGGTCCTCCCCTGGATAAGCTCGTGTCCGTCCAGGTTCTGGCACATTAACTTATCTTTACACTCCACGTTGGTCCTCCACGAACATATTCCAGGTCTCGTGGCCGCAGAGGACCACCGGTCTAATCAGCGTCTTGTAGACAGTCACCTTCGAGCGGCTGCTAATTTTATTCGACCGGAGCGTCCTCCGGAGTCCAAAGTAGGCACGATTCTCTGCCATAATTCGTCTTTGAATTTCTCTACTGGTATCATTTTCGGCGGTCACTAGTGAGCCCAAATACACGATGCGTTGGTGGCGAGTCCAAGCCGCCTAGATTCAGCCTTCAGTCTGATATACGTTTCCGCTATCGTCTCAAAGTTCCGTGCCATGATGTCGATGTCATCGGCGAAGCCAAGAAGCTGGATGGACTTCCTGAAGATCGTGCCACTCATGTCTATCCCAGCTCTTCTGATCACACCTTCTGACGCGCTGTTGAATAGCAGACACGAAAGTCCATCACCTTGCCGTAACCCCCTTCGAAATTAAAAGGGACTCGAGAGTGTCCCCGATACTCGAACAACGCACATCACTTGATCCATTGTCGCCTTGACCAATCGCGTCTGCCGAATCGCGAAAATTTGCAATCCACCTTGTCGCCCTTTTTGTGGATTGGTCATGCGACACCTTCCATCTACTCCTCCGGTAATATCCCCTCCTCCCAAATCTTGGCAATTACCCAGTGCAGTGCTCTGACCAGTGCTTCACCACCTATTTTAAAAGCTCACTTGGTAGTCGGTCTACACCAGTTGCTTTGTTCTTCTTCAGCCGACCGATCTCCTCCTCAACTTCTTGAAGATCAGGGGCCGGTAGCCTGTCGCCTTCTGCGCGTGCTCAAAGCTCTGTTGACGTGGCACCTTTGTTTTCAGCTGCATCTCCGATGAGGTGCTCGTCATTGTACCAACCGATGGAAACTAACGATGTTAAATTGGCTCACTACTTGACTAGCCTATTGGTCCCAAGCAAATCGATTAACGTACCCCATTCTAGTCGAAATTCTAGTTCTTCACTATGTTTGTTTTGATTTGCTATGAAAGTTAGACAGACAAAATTAGGGGTTCGTGGATTTTCCTATGATTCGAGGGGTGCGTCGATTAGCTAGGGACCGAAGAGAGTACCAGAGCTGAGCCAAAAAGTTGAGCTCGTTTCTTCGGGACCTTCTAGTCTTAGAGTTACCTCTATGGTACTGGTTTGTATGTCTGTCGATGGTATATCCAAACGAGTTCAAATTTTGGGAGGCTTATAAGGACCCGATTTGGAACCATTTAAGCCATGTGCATTTTTCTGGGTAGAATTCAAGCTGAACATTGTAATAGGTCTTAAGTAACATTGACAGATCCTCTTTCTCTTTATATCCCCACGGCCATGTAAATACATTCCCAGGAATTTTTCAGCACACAGATCGATAAAAGAAGTTTTTATCTAGCGAAACGGTTATGTGCTTAAGTTATTAACGAAAGAGAAAGTCGATGAAGAGAATCGATCAATGTTACTCAGGACCTAATGCAATTTTCAGCTTCAATTCCTACTCACAAATAGACGAATGCACGGATGGAGTTGAGTTCACTCGACAAAAAGTGACACAACAGCGGGGCTCTATTTACCAAAAATGAACACATGAATAATACTCGCTACATTTGAAACGGGCCTATCAACTTTTGTACACAAAACTTGTTAAGCCCTTTTCGTGTGAACCGAATACGCCCACGCAAACTTAAAACACCATCGGGTAGGGACAATTATCCACTTCCCGATAGTGCTCTTGGTTTGCGTGGGCGTTCTTCCGTTCTCGTGAAAAGGACTTAGTAAATTGTTTACAAAAGTTAATGGGCCCTTTTCAAATTTTACGCAAGCATTATTCATGCACTGAAACAAGGACCATAGTTAGGAATACTATTTTACAGAAAACACTTATTCTCAATATAACCATGCTTATTACCGTTAAATATACTATGAATTCAGTATAGTTGACTATGAATGTCAACAAATTTACTATGATTCTGGCAAAATTACTATGCTTGGTCAAAATGCATAGTAATTTTGATAGAAATAATAGTAAAATTTAATGAAATTCTTTTCTGCACAAATCTATTGGTGAGGGTATTCAATTTAAACCAGCAATATAGTATTTTTAACAATGAATTTTGTTTCAGTGTGTGTTCATTTTTAGGCTGTGAACCATTTGCCGAGTTAAATTTAACTCGTGGTTAAAAATGACATTTCGAAAGTTATTTCTTATATTCGAAAATCTCCGTGCTGTCGATCGACCGGTTTTCGAGCCACGGTCGTCAAAATTTAACTTCTTGTCTGTCAGAAATAACCATGCTCGGATAGCAGGGTTAATCGATAACTTTCCATCTGTCAAATTTAACCAAGAGTTAAAAAAAAACTACAAGGGACATCCCTATGGGGTTGTACGCAATGGTGACGTAGGACTACGTGGTCTTATATAATAAATGGTAATGTGTATCTTTATTCAGCCAGGAATTAATCTGAACCATATTTTAATTATTTTCCTTACCTCATTTTTATATTTTCATTTTCTGTTCTATTTACTATCGTACAGATTTGTCTTGAATCTGATGAAATATTGCTTGGAGCCAATGCCCATGATTGTGCTGGGTAATTAAAATTTTTGTTCAACAGATTGCGTTCAACGTATCCACATCGTATAATGGCCGCACCAAGCAGACCGCTAGTAAGTCCACCGGAGGAAAGGCTCCTCTCAAACAGATGGAGGAGTGAAGAAGTCTCATCGCTACCGGCCATCAGGAACTGTCGCTCTGCGTGAGATCCGTTCTTACCAGAAATCGACCGAGCTGCTGACTGCAAGTTGCCTTTCCAGCGTCTGGTCCGTGAAATCACCCAGGACTTCAAGACCGATCTGCGCTTCCAGAGCTCGGCCGGTTTTCACAATGTGTACCCCCATATAGAAAGCAAAGACGTCCTACGTCAAAACCGTACGGTCGTGTCATGGATGCAACCTCTTATTCTTTTTGTCAACATTATTTTCATAAGGCAAATCAACTGATTTCTTATCGCGAACTTTGCTAACGCTGCTTTCGAACATTTAAAAGTTCAATAAATCATCAAAACCTCTTTCACGTTGGAAATCGATTTGTGGCCCTGAAAAGGGTCGATTGATTGTTTGAATGATACGAATTTACTTGGAGCTAGTTTACTTAGTGACGGCCTTGGTTCCTTCAGAGACAGCATGCTTGGCCAACTCACCCGGCAGCAGCAGACGGACAGCAGTTTGGATTTCGCGGGAGGTGATCGTCGAGCGTTTGTTGTATTGAGCCAGACGGGACGACTCAGCAGCAATACGTTCGGAGATGTCATTGACGAAGCTGTTCATGATGCTCATGGCCTTCGACGAGACTCCGGTGTCCGGGTGGACCTGCTTCAACACCTTGTAGATGTAGATGGCATAGCTTTCTTTCCTGCGCTGTCTCCTATTCTTCTTCTCTCCCTTGACGATGACTTTCTGCGCCTTTCCGGACTTCTTGGCGGCTTTTCCAATGGTTTTCGGTGCCATGATGAAATCGTTCACTTCGGAAGAGAATAACTGATAGTCGCTTCGACGGTGGTGTCTCGTTTTGTACCCGTAGCATAAGAAGCGAAACTCCTCCCGTTTTCAGTATTTTGCTTCCCACTGTATGTATTGTACCCTCCCTGTATTAATAATATGCTACTCGACGCAGGTATAAGTATACCCTCGATGAGTTTTTTTTTTTTTTTTTAAATCTTTATTTTAGAGATTTTTAGCCTGAGGCTAGTTCATCTCTTTAGTCATGGGTGAGGCCTCAGAAGGAGAACCTCCTACGGAGTTGTTTGACAGAGTTTTAGCATAACAATTTGATCGTTTTCCTTAATGACTATCTAGGGTGACCACCATCATGAGGGTCAAAGACTCATCCCATGTGGTGTCCCTCCTGCTACTGAAAACTGTAAAATACAGCTTTCCTGGCTCTTCGCGAGAAAACAAGTTAAAACACATGGAACGATGACCTGAACGAGACGACACCGTGACGAGGTCCAAAGGCTCATCCCGTCCGGTGCCGTCCCGACAGCTAGCAGAAAACAAAAAACACAAAAGACTGATACTAGCAACTGACTACAAAAACGGACTAAATTTGATGATACAAATTCGCCTCCCTCAGGAATACCAGGAGGGCGTCGGCAGCAGGCGAGTCCTCTCCGAGCAGGTTCCGGATGCTGGAGGTAATCCCGTAAGTCTCCCGGATGTCCTGGAATTCCGGGCAGACACACAGTAGGTGTTCGACGGTTGCCGGAACGTGGCAGATAGCGCAGCTCCTGCGGAAGGGTCCTCCGCCGAAGTTGAGATATAGACGGCAGTGTCCAGTCCTCAGCCTCGAGAGTATCCTCTGGTCCGGTAGGTTTCGGAGGTCCGTCCATGCCTCCGTGGTTCCCTTGATTTTCCGGATGAAAGGCCCTCGAGTGCTGGCCCATTGGTCGGTCCATGCCTTCCGAACGGTGGTCTTAATCCACCGTCTGACGTCCTGGAGGGGAACTTTGTCGGTGAATCTGGGACCCGACGGTCCAGTTCCAGCGAGTTGGTCGGCTGCCTCGTTTCCGGGAATTCCGCAGTGGCCGGGTATCCACGCAAAAACGGTATTACTGGGTGCGTACTTGACAGTAGCCTGAATCCACGGGTGGGTGGGAGTTGCCGAGCAGAGCTCCTGGATAGCGCTGTACGAATCTGTCAAAATAAGAATTGGTTTATTAGCTGGTGAAGTGGCCGCGTGGAAGATCGCGGCCGCTTCTGCCGAGTAAACGGAGCACTGCAGTGGTAGGCTGTTGCTGACGAGTATGCCACTTCCGGATACTCCGATGCCAACGCCCGTGTTGGATCGGGAACCATCGGTGTACCGGTGGGTGAAATCGGTAAACTTGGACCTGAGAAGCTCAGCTACTGTGCAACGTAGGGCTACAGAGTTGTCTCCTGCTTTGAATTGATTCTTGATCGCGTTTTCGATTATGAGTTTGGAAGAGAGCCAACTCTTCTCTCCGTGCCAGTGGATCCTAGCCACCGGGGGGAGGTCGATGCTGGCGATCGATTGCATGATTCTATCCCCCTCGTCGAGGAGGAAGACTCTGCCATTCCCTGCTGTTTTGGCGGCGAAGGATGCAGCTTTGTACAGCGTGGCGTTTATGATGCGGTACCGAAAGGGTAGAACCCCTGCTTCAACACACGCAGAATCTGCGGGGGTGGAAGGTAGGAGACCGGAAATGATCCGGATACAACTGTTGAAAGTCGGGCCAAGAATTTCCTCCTGCTTCTCCGATGCGATGCACGTAAGTTCGGTTCCGTACAGCAGCCGGCTGTCGATGATGGCTTGCGAGACACGGAAGCGAACTGCCCGGTTGTTGGATCGGTGTGGCCTGGAAATGGTCCTGACCAGATTGACCCTGCTTCTACAATCCTTCTTTACCTGGTTGAAGTGGGGCACGAAAGACAACGTGCGGTCCACCAGAACACCCAGAATCCGAACGGAGTTCCTAACGGGGATAGCTTGATCGGCGATCTTGATGGCGGCCCCGCTTACCCTGTGTCGGGACGGGCAGACGTGGCATCTGACACTTTTCCTGGCCGAGAGCTGGAAACCAGCTGTTTCGGCCCATTTCACGACGGCTGTGACGGCAGCTTGCGCTATGTTCCTGGTGCGGATTGTGGTGGGCCCGGTTACCACGATGAGTACGTCGTCGGCATACACAAAGATGTGCACGTTCTTGGGTAGCCGGTTAAAGACACCGTTCATCGCAATTAAGAAAAGCGTGACAGAGATCACGGATCCCTGGGGGACCCCCGTTTCTTCCCGAAAGCTGCTGGATTTGGCGTTACCGATGGCGACGCGAAAGGAGCGGTCGGTAAGGAAATTCCGAACGAAGTGGACCATGTGTCCCTTAAGTCCCCAACGGACGAGTTGGGCAAGTACGGCCGGAGTCCAGGTTCGGTTGAAAGCCTTGGAGATGTCAAGCGAAACGATTTCGGTGTGGTGTCCCTGGTCGAAGGCGTCTTTCAGCACGTCTCCCAGTGTGGCAAAATAGGTAGAGGTGCCGCATCCTTGACGGAAGGCGTGTTGCCGGTGATCGAGCAAGCTATTCGTCTCCAGAAAGGTCTTCAATCTCCGGTTCACCATCCGCTCGAACACCTTGCTCATGCAGGAGGTGAGGGCAATGGGCCGGAACTTCGTCGCATCTTTCGTTGTTTCGTTAGTCTTCGGGATCGGAATGACCAGGCTTTCCCTCCACGATGCTGGATAGGAGTCGGTGGTCCAAAGTTCGTTGAAGAGCTCAAGCATACGGACTTGGCCTTCGATCGGTAGGTGTGTTAAAAGGGGGTATCCGAGTTCGTCGGGACCCGCCGATTTGCCCTTGCTCTTACTGAGCGCAAACTGTAGTTCCTCCCAGGAGAAAACACCGTTTATCCTGGCGCTATCGTTGTCGACCGGTACGGGAAAGTTGCCAATCGAGGCCGGTGTGGTGTTGTTGCGGCGACGAAAGTTCTCGCCGTATCCAGGGATAGCTGAAAGCTCCGCGAAGTACTTCCCCAGCTCATCGGCAACGGCTACTGGTTCGGAGATGGTGCCATCTTCAGACTGCACCTGCAGCGGGCTCGAACGTCTTTTGCCACTGAGGGCGTTTACACGGCTCCAAATATCTGCCGAGGACTGGGATGCATCTATGCTGTCGAGAAAGTTCGTCCAACTCTCCTGCTTGGCACTCCGGATCGTTTGCCTGCATTGGATGTGCAGTCCGCGATAACGTTCGAGAATGCCATCCCGGCCGGGATCGTCTGGCTTCGTTCTTCTCAGCTTACGGAGGGCCTTCCGTCGGACTTTCACGGCTGCCTTCGTTTCTTCGGTCCACCATCGAAGGGCTTTTCGTCCAGGGATGCTGCTGGTCTTGGGAATGGATGCGGCGGCTGCATCGAGGATTGTCTTCGTCAGGTCGGGGATGTTACCGGGACCCTGTTCACTGATACCGGAGAGGATGGCGTTTCTGTACACTTCCCATTCAGCTTTGTCATACCTCCAGCGTGGCCTACGGGTGGTTACGGGGGCGGCTGCGGCATGTAGCTGTATCTGTATGGGATAGTGGTCGCTTCCATATAAATCCGAATTGGCGGTCCATTGAAACTTGCCAGCAACGTCTCGGCTGACAGCGGATACATCAATGGCGGTGGCATGACGTCCATTGAAGAAGGTGGGTGCCCCGTCATTGAGCACGACAAGGTCTTCGCTTTCAAAAAGGTCCGCCAGAGCGGACCCGCGGTTGTTCGGTCTCGGACATCCCCAGTTGGAATGGTGCCCATTCATATCCCCGACGAGGATTCGTGGTTCTGGGAGCTTGTCGATGGCACTCTTCACTTGGTTGTTGAGGCCATTCAATCGGCCGCATGGCAGGTAGGCGCAGGCAACGGCAATGTTGACAGGGCCTTCTAGCTGGACGGCGATGAAGGGGAGATCGGACGCGACGTCAATCGGGTGGAAGGCAACCTCTCGTAGGACTCCAATGGCTACCGAGTGACGGAAGTTGCTACCACGCTGCATTATCCATGCGTATTTCCTTCCTAACGTACGGTCCATTTGTTCCACCGTCACTTTGTTTACCTCCTGCAGGGCGATCACCCATGGCAGGCTGTCTTGGCAGAGAAGTTCCAGATCGGCCAGGTGTTGGAAGAACCCGTTAAGGTTCCATTGAAGCAGAAAGTTAACGGGCTTTGGCAGGGCCGGCTTCGGGAAGGCGGTTGCCGAGTCGATGCTTTCGCAGCTCATGTTGACGGAATGTCGAATGTCGTAGTGGCCAGAGGCGTTGATTTCATCCGTGTTGTCGGCGGTTTCGTTCGCATAGTCGGCGTCGGATAGAGACCCACGATAGCCAGGCGGGGGAGTTCCATCGGACCCGGGTGTCGAAAGTACGGCAGCGGAAATTGCCGATGGGTTTAGAACGCGGACCGAATGAAACAGAGCCCCACCAGAGGCAGGTGGAGGCGTTCCACCTACCCAAGGCAGGGATGTTCCAACGGGAGAAAGAAATTTTGGATGGTTCCGTTGCTTCGTCGATGCGTGGCCGGCAGATGTTGACCCTTCTTCGTTTCCGTTATCCTTCGGGGAATGGGAATGACGTCCCTTTTCCGTCCCGATCCTCGCAATCAAAGAAGATCCCTCGTTGTCCTTAGGGGTATGGGTGTTTCCACCCTTGTCCGTCCCTCTTCCAGGCAGGCCCTCGATGAGTGAAATAAACCGACCATCATTCTCTGCTTGTTCGTCAAGCAGTTCAGTCCGGTATTTGCTCGCTCTGTCGAGTTGTTCGATAGTTATTCCAAACGTTTATTCGCGTCGTCAGTAGTGTCGGTCGCATCGTGTGATGGGAAGACAGCGCTCCCGGAGCAGGCTCCGTGAGAAAGCGGAGAAGAACAGTGGTGAGTGTAGCACGAGTGTACCTATTTCAAATAGGTACGCTACTCTTCCCACCGATGTTGGAAATACCACCACCGCCACGGTGAAGCGA